AGGGTTTTTAAAACACATGTCCTTTTTGGATTTTTTTTTTTTTTTTTTTGGTTACAATTCCTCGTAAACACAACCCTGCCCTCTGGAACCCCCCCAAAAAAGTCAAAACAAAGACACAGATAACTCTTTACCTTACAAATGTGCCTCTGATCTTTTAAGTGCACAGAAAATCGCCATAGTCCGGCATTCAGTTCTTTACAAGCAAGATGGTCATTCCCATTTCTCAGGCAGGGAATCCAAAGTACCTGATCTTTTCATCGTTTGCAAATACTTAGTGAGGACTTAATGGGTGCCCAAGCAACCTCATTCGGGGACAAACTCCATAAGCAACTCCCACTGCCTGTTGGGGGCAGGCTCTTCTCAACTGAACATTTCTTTTCTTTCCATGAAGCCCTATACAGTACTTAGTAGCTTTGCCTAAAATAACCTCTGCTAGGAGCCAGGCACACCTCCTTGGCCTCCCTCGTATTATTAGATACACAGGCCTTTTATTCTCCACACATACAGCCAAAAATGTAGTTTCAGTGATTACCACTTATCGCCTGATAGTGGTCAACCTGTACCAAAGCACAACAAGGGCTTATTGGGGAGGGAAGGGGGTAGAGAATCAAGAATTTCTGAGATAACTTCAGATAACTTCGGAAGTTTTGCTTTATGAAATGTGACCACATGAAGATACGCCCCAGGATGAAAATGTTAATCATAATTTTTATATTCTTGCAATTCAGAATGTACACCCATCTTATAAGCTTTACCTGCTTAGAAATACCACTGCATTATCCTGCATGCTATGCAAATAAAATATTGAATGGAAATTCAGATAAAAAAAAACCATAAAAGGAAAGAGGTGAAGCAACAAAGCATTAGCAACATTTGCTGTCTTCACCTAGGTAAGGTTAATGGTAAGTGTCCAGACTGTCCTTTTAGTTAAGAAGTTTCCAGAAAAACAAGGGAGGGAGGAAGATGGGGGGGGTGGTCTGAATTAACAACTGCTATGGGGCATTTTTAATGATCTCACATGAACGGCAGAAGTCCATTCCAACTGGTACACCAATATATAACTGATTACACCACATTAACTTGGGAGTTTTTCAGAACACAAAGATGAACGTGAAAGGGGTTTTGTTTTGTTTTACTATCCCTGCACTGCTTCATGTAAACGATATAATCTTTTACTCGGTGAAAACAAGTCCATAATTAAGGGGAGATGCTTCACTATTGGATAGATCTTTTTCTCTTTTCAGCCAACCTTTCCTTAACCTTTCTGCCTCCAGCAACAGCAACTTCCCATTTCTATAGAGTCCTGATAGGTGTATTTGTATTAATGTTCTAACTTCATCAGCTCTGTAAGAGGAACACTGTTTAGACGGAAACATGAAAAGACTGTATACCACAAAGGGACGAAGCTTCAAGACTGGACAAAGATTCTTCATGTTGGAACAGAATATCTCAAGTGGGGGTTAGGGTGTGGGGGGACATGCATGATTTCTCACTCCATCCCTAAAGAGTAAGACTGCTGGTTTTCGAACATTACTTTTGCATTTTTCTAAGAAGGCCATATAGAATGTCCATCAGGAATAAGCATGTACATGCAAATGCACCAAGAGACGCTGGAGAGAGATTCACCAGACATCAATCATGGATCCTCTGATTCTGACACATCCAAAGTACACAGCAAAGCTTATCCATCTGAAGTGTTTCCAATGTCAGCCTCCTAGATGTAATGTAATTATGGTACAAACATACCAGAATCAAAGAGAACGGTTTCACTGAGGATGGAAAGAGAGAAGAAATCAATTAAAAAAAAAATTTTTTTACGTTTCTGCTGAATAGCTTACAAATGTAAAATACATAAAATGTTAACCCTCTCAAGTGCCATATTTTATATCCTGTTGCCGGCACTTAGACTCCCAATGATTAGATACATATGCCAAATGCTTAAAAGAAGTATGCATAAGATTTGCTTTAAACTAAGCAGGTGTTAGGGAGGGTGGCGGGGGACAGAAAAGGTTGAGTTCATAACTGCTGTAAGTGGGTAGGGGGATCCATAGGGATCCATTATATTTTCCTATTTTCATAAATCTTTCTGTAAGAGTATTTTTTTAAAAGATGTAGGAAAAGAATGGTACTATGCACTGAAATATGTTTGATAACACTTCTGCTCTGAAAAGTGGAAATACCACTCTAAACACTAACCGAGATGCGGGTCCCACACCTGCCATATACTGTACTGTTGTTGGGAGACTAAAAGCCACTGTTTCCGACTAGCTGGGGAAAGATCCACGGCAGGGCTGTTTCCAAAACCCTCCCAAATTACAGATATCCTGTATCCTGAACAAGAGTTGAGAACAAATCTAACTTCGGTCATCCCGAGAGAAAACAAACAAAATAACGAGGGATTTGGGGTAAGACCTCACAAGGAGGACCCTAATCCAACACCAGAAGCATCTTTATCCGTCGTGCCAACCAGATAAAGGCTTCCGAGGTTACAGAGGGCAAGAAGAGGGGGTCCCAAAGCCAACGCAGGCCCCCACCGGGTTCCGAGCGGGCCAGGAGCAGCAGAGCCCAGCGGAGGCCGCCTCCTCGCTCCAGGGCGCACCCGCAGCTCCCGAGCCTCGGAACCCGGCCGCGTGCGCCGGGTCCCCGCTCCCACCGCCGCCCCACCGCACCCATAAGGCCGAGCCGGACCAGTGGAGGTGGTAGGAGCCCCACCAGTGGCTCAGGGGCGCCCCCTGAGGTCCAGCGGCGTCGCGGCACCTTGGAAAAACGGAAAGCCGACTCTGACATTTTTAACTTTGCCTGGTTCCAAAGGCTGCTCGCTGTGCCCTCTCCGGAGGCACTTTTCCGAACCACAGACCCTCTTCCCCGTGCCTCACACCACTGCCCCTTCCCTTTCCGACACTCTTAGGCTCCGAGGCGAGGGAATGTGCTATTTACCTCGCAGCGTGGGCACGAAAAGAAAATGTGGAGATGAAAACTGTCCAAGCCCCACGAAGGCGGTATCACTGGAGGTCCCATTTTGGATTTCAAGCTTCCTGAGACATCAGGGAAAAGAAAACCACGGCCAACCCACTGGCTGCATACCCGAGCTAAGGATAACGCCAGACATGGAATTAGAAATTCCTCTTATTTCGCAAGGCTGCTCTCCTGCTGCCTCCCCCTGCCCCCATTAAAGCGTGACCCTTACAAAGCTCGACCCCACTGTGCACCTGAGCCCACTCAGCCGGCAAGTCCACGGCAAAGAAAGTCTAGAAGGAGCAACAGTCTTTTAAGGGACAGAGGGCATTTTTTAAAAGGGAAATGCCGCCCCCAGCCCCGTGGAAGCAGGACCCTGGTAGGCAAACCGCAGGCCTCAGGGTTAGTGTGGGCACACGTCCTCGCTAGCCATCCGAGCTGGGTTCCTGGGCAGTGGCAGGAGCTCCCTGCGGCTCCGAGGGCAGGAGGATGCGCAGAGGAGAAAGGGGGTGCCGTAGAAAAGACTGTGCTTTGCCTCTCTGCTCGAGGCCACCCCTGTGCCTGCAAAAGGGACACTCGCTGCCACTCCCCAAGCAGGTCCCCGAGGGCAGCGAGAGCGCCCGCGCCCTGTTGCAGGGCGCACGATGGAGCTGGGGGGCCCGCTGCACCAAAACCTTGCGCTCAGGCCGCTCGGGGACAGGCGGCTGTGACCAGAGAGAGCAGAAACATCAGGGCACGTTCCTTTTTTTTCGTTCAGATAACCCCCACCTCTGGGTAGCCAAGAGTTAATGGATGAGAGGGCAGAAAAACTGGGGGGTTCTCTATCCCTAGGACAGCGAGATGAAAAAGCGAATCACCCCCTTCTTCCCACCCGTTCCCAGGCTAGGGCAGAGGACGTGGCCTCCACTCCAGGGGAGGGTGCTGGACAGACTCAAAGGAGCTCAGAGGTGTAGGTGTAGGTGTAGGTGTAGCTGTAGCGGGGGGGGGGGGCGACGAGGGAGGGGGGCGGCTGGTCTCTGCCCTTCCGGAGGGGAGAGGAAAGAGGGTCGGCCAGTGGAGGGCTGGTAGTGGAGGGTCGCCGAGCCGCACACCGCTACGTGCGGTGATGTATTATCGTCACCAATGGCCAATACCGTTCCCATCTTAACCCGGCCATAAAGGACCGGGTCTAGGTCGGCCAGCCACGAACAGCCTGTAAAAGGGCAAAGATGAAGGTAGGCAGGGCATGCGAGACGAGAAAAAAATCCGCCCCGGCGCGAACAGCAACCCAGCCGCCGACCACCCCCGCCCCCGGCGCCCCTACTGGAGCAACCCCGCGGAGCAGAGTTGCAGGGTAAAAGGGGCCGCGGGCCGGAGCTGGGGGAGCCACGATCTCCCTAAACCGCCTGCTCCCAGCTCCGCCCGGCCCCCGCGCCCGTGAAGGCTGCCTCGCTCCAGCACCGAAGGGCAGCCCCGCGTCCCAGCCCCGAGCGGGGGTCGTCCCTCGCCCCGGACACGAGTACGCAGGCTGCTCCCAACATCCCAATCCTCCACGGTCAGCCTCCAGCTTCCAACCTCTTAACACCCTCTCCAAATGGTCGGGAAGCAGCAAAGCAAGTCCCCCTTCCTTCCGAGCTCCTTCAATCCTGTCGGGGGCGAGAGGCGCACCCTGGGCCCCCCAAATCTAGAACCATCCTCCCCTGGCCCCAGTCTCTTCAACCGCCCCAGAGCTCTGGCTCTCCCGAACGGTGACGGATCAGCAAAGCGAGCTTTTCTTCCTACTCGGGCTCCCCCAGACCCCCCCAAAACCTGAGCGAGAGCAGACCCTTACGGCCCCTGTCCCCCTTTCCCGGCCAGCCCCTGCTTCCACCCACACCAACCATCAGCCTCTCTAAACGCCGCCAGAACCAGCGGAGCGGATCCCTCTCTCCTCCCCGTCTGCCCGGCCCCCCTTCACCCTCTCTGGGGTCCCCGGGACGTGCGCCCGAGCTCCGTGCCGCGGAGACAACTCCGCATCCCCCGCGCGCGCCGGCCAGGGCCGGGTCCCCTCAGCGGCCGGCACTCACCGGGGAAGCACACGACATAATGGAGCACGGAACTGGTGATTTTCAGGAACAAAATCCACCAACACGGTTCCAGTAACCTCCGCATGTCCGAAAACGCACATCGAAAAGAAGAAGGCAGGGGGGTAAACTTGTTGAATAAGTTCTTGTCTCCGTGTGAGCCTCCGCTAAACCCTGGCTCTTCCCCTGCTCGCCCGCTCTACGGGCCCCCCGCGCTCGGCGGCCCGAGTCCCCCTGGAATCCGGGAAGCCGCCGAGCGCCCCCCGGAAAAATCTCAAAAAGTGACCGGGAACGCGGAGCCACGCTGGGGACGATCCTCGGTGGAGAAGGGCTGCTTTCCGTTCAAAAAAGAGCAAGCCGAGCGAGCAGGGCGAGGAATCAGCGGGCGGCGACGATGCCCGGGGCCCGGGGCAGGCAGGGACCGCAAGCGGCGGCGGCGAGCAGCCGAAGATCCCCAACTTGAGTCGGCGGCGCAGCGCAGCCCGAGAGCCGGCGGGCGGCGGTGGGGCTGAGCGCGGCGCGGCGTCTTCGGGCTTCAGGCAGGCAGCTCCTTCCAGGGCCCGGGGAAGGAAGGAGGCATGTTTGCGAGCGGGGAAGGGGAGGGGAGAGGCGGGGGGAGCGAAGAGCCCCCCCAAAATAGAAACGGCCGGAGGAAACGGAGGAAAACACAAAGGATCTCAGAGGGGCGCTGGGGCGAGGGCGCCTTCAGTCCATGCTCCTGAAAGTTGTGGCTCCAGCGCAGGCTGGGGAGGAACGAGGAGCGCGGGGCTGGAAACTGGCCATGCCTCCATACAGGAAGTAACATGTGAGCATGGATCCTGGCAGAGACTTTAAAGCCGGCGAGCGAGCGAGCGAGCGAGCAGGGGGCGCGCGGCGGCGCGCGAGCAGGGGCGCGCGGCAGGCACGGGGGCGCGCCGCCGGGGCTGCGGGCCGCGGGAGCGCGCTCACCGCGCTCTTAAAGCAGCCGCGCTCGGCTCCAGCCTCCGAGGGGTCTCAAAGCCGGCTACTCCCCGCGCGTGGCCCGCGAGATTGCGGGCTCCGCTGAGGCAGTTTGAGGGCTGGGGACGGCTCTGGCCGGGTCTCGGAGAGAGGAAGGAGGGCGGCCGCCTTCTGGAGCTGGCGAGTCTTTGCCAGATTCCAGTTCTGCTAGCCCTTCCAAGACGCAGAGCTTTGCGCGGGTTTGACGAAAGGTCTCTCCTCCGTCCGCGTTGCTCGCTTCCCCTGTGGGGAAGGGGGGGCTTGGTTCGGGTCTAAGGAGAGGGGGACGGCCGGCTGCCTTTCTTTTTTGAACGAGGGTGTTTCCTGTTCGGCTGCCAGCGCTTCTAGCAGCGCCGCAGCGGGGCGCGCCCTGCTCAGTCCCGGCTCGCACCCCCAGCCCGGCACATTCCCCCGCCTGGAAACAAAGCCGAGAGGCCTGTACACTCGGGCGGCGTTGGGATTTAATTTTTTTTTCTTTCTTTCAGGCTTCCATTGGCCGAGTCGGCGGCTGGGGACGGGGGGTGGGGAAGGATATCGATCCTGGGCTTGCAAAATCCAGCCCTTCCGATCCCCACACCCTTTTTCCCCTCGCCACGAAGGATCGGTGGAGTTTTTCCAACTCGCAGCTCCGCGGGAGGAGGGAAGGTTCCCGCGCTCCGGCTGGGTGGTGGGGAGAGCGCAGGAAGTGTGCCTCTCACCCCCGGCTGGGTGAAAGCAGCGCCGCGGGGCAGGACCGATTTCCTGGCAGCTACCCCGGGAGCGGCTGTCTCTTTAGCAATCCGGGAGAGGCGTCCGGGGGAAAGGGGAGGACTGGGCTTATCTGTAATGAGTTTTGTCTCTTGACTTTCGGTGAGAAGATCTTTATCGCTCAGACTTCTGAGCGCCCTATTTTCTCTTCTTAACGCGGGTGCTAAAAGTGGGGGAGGCGGGCTTTTGATTAAACGTGTAATTGAGCCAAGGTAATTTGCCATTTGTAATTTTTGCCTAATTTTTCTGCCTCTGTTTAAAAGCCATTTTGACATGTTTTTAACGTGCCCCTGCTGTTTCATCCCACCACGCAGGGTCCCCCACCCACCCACCCAAACATCCCCAACCGGATGCTAGGTTTTCAAATAATGTACAGATGTTCGGAGATCCTCCTGCAAGATGTGATTAGGGAAGCAGTTTCACACCCACACTTCCAAAAGAAAAACCTTTGAAAAGTTACGTTTGGGATTACAAACTAATAAAAGCCCGGAAGTTCCCGGGGAGGGCCCGCGCTCTATCTTTAGCTGAACAGGGGTGAACACCCACCCTCAGTGCGGGTAATGAGTTTGTTTGCTTTGGGATTTGGTCCTTCCTGGTTTTGTTGGAATCCTGACTCCCCCATAAAAGCTTGAAGGTCAGTTTTCTTGGGAGTGTCGTATTTAAGGGATATCCCTTTGTCAGTAGGAGCTTTGAGAGAGGTTAAAATGACCCCGGCGTGTCTGGCTACCTTACTAAAGAGTGACTGATAAAATCCGTGTAATTTGAATCAGAACAGAACACACCTCCTGGACAGACATCCCCAGGTGAATTTCCTCCTTTGCAAAATGTACATAATAAAAACTGCCATTTGTGGAATGCCTCCTACCTCCCAGGCACTGTGCTGACTTCTTTGCACAAAGTGTTCATTCAACAAATTGATTGAGCGCTGAGCTGTGCAGGGCATAGTAGGAACACACTCATGAAGAAAAAGGCAAGGCCTGTGACCTTTGTGGAGCTTACCTGCCAAAGTACAGGATACATTCTTTCACGGAATCCTTACAAGAGTTCTGCCAGCGGTGGGGATTATTTTTTTCCCTCATGTATGGACAAAGAAACAGGCTCAGAGAAGAATAATGGATCCCCAGCTAGTGAGTAGTAGAGTCGGGATTCTGAGGCCTGTCTGCCCTCATAGCTTGGCAAAGGCAAAGAAATGTTGGTTTGGGGAGACACTGAAATGTGAGTGGGAGAAGTGGCTTAGGAGTGGGGGAAAGTTCACATGGGTTTGGAGAGTAAATTACCACTACCCTTATGGTAGAGGATGCCCCACACTAAAAATTAATGTTGAATTAGATCCAGGCTGGTGACTGTCTTGGGGCCCTGGGTTGAAGTTTTGGAAAACACCCTCCCACAACCCAGGCCTTACCAGGCCTCTTAATAAAAATAGAAGTTTAAATGAATACCAAACAGGATGCCTTTTCATTCACTCTATGATCAATTACAGAACAGCTCATACATACCATATATACAACTGTATCAAGTGCTGGGAGCACAGAATGACCAGGTAGTGAACCCGACAATGCGCCCACCTGATGATTACAACACACACCCCTCCCCCAGGAGACATGGGGGGCTACAGAATATGGTGAGCACCCCAGGAGAGTTGGTGTGAGGGCCTTTGGGAGGGCCAAAGGAGGGAAGAGATACCCTGATGAGAAGATAGGAAGGTGACAGAGAGGGCCGGTATTGGTAAGAAATTACCCCCAAACGTAGCAGCCTCAAACAGTACACGTTTATTATCTCACAGCTCTGCAGGTCCAAAGTTGGGGTGCAGTGTAACTGTGTCTTCTGTTCAGGGTCTCCTGAAATCAAGGTGTCTCCCAGGCATTCTCATCTGCATCTCCGGGTTCTCCTCACAGGTCTTTCAGATTATTGACAGAATTCAGTTCTTTGTATTTGGAGGACAGAGATCCCTATTTTCTTTCTGGTTGTGCGCCAGAGGTAGATCTCAGCTAGGGATGGTCTTCAGGTCCAAACCGCACAGCCCTCACAAAAAGGCAGCTCACTTCTGCCAACAGAGAATCTCCCTACAGGCAGCTATGTAGAAGTTTTGGGAGTGACCATCCCATCACTTTGGGTGTAAAATATAACCTAATGAAGGGAGTAACTAACCCATCACATTCTTAGGTCTAACCCCACTCTCAGAAGTGGGGATTATACACCAGGGGGTAGAAATCTTGGGGACCATCCTAGAGTTCTACCTACCATAGTGCTGGTGGTCTGTTTTGAGTATAGACTGATAGTTACAGGTGATCAGTTTCAAGCCAGTCTAGTCCGATGGGACTTGTATCTGTTTGACCACGGGCAACTGAACCACTTTGTGCCTCAGTTCCCTCATTCATAAAGAGAGAGTAATAACTGCACCTGCTTCTAAATTGAGAAGATTAAAGGAGTTAAAAAGAGTGAAGTACTTAGAACAGTGTGGGGCACCTAATAAGCATTTAATAAATGTGCGCTATTACTGTTCTCTGCTCAACAAGCCTATGCAAGAGAGGGTGAAAATGTTACTTTCTGCCTGCTCAACTTCCATGTCTTTTCTTCCGGTAACAGCACTCTAGTTTTCCTTTGTCCTAATCTCTACGGATGGTCTTGATCCTTTTTCCTCCAGTATTACCCTCTGCCTTTCTACCTCACTGGTTCAGCATGGACACATGGCCCAGCCTTGACTATTTGGAGCATCACAGCCTCCTGGCCTGATTGAGTTAGTAACAGCCACATATTTCCACTTGGTCCAATGAACGCCAAACTTCTTCCTGGGTTTGCCAAATTGGATGACCTTAAGCCTCAACAAGAAAGCAGGGCTCCACTTGGGAAGAGCCTGCTTGAGAATGAAGCTGATACCCGGAGGAAAACAGAATGGAGAGGGGGAAGCCATCAGACCTCTTGATTCAATCACTTGAGTCCTTCAATTAAGCTACTGGAAGCCAGACCAAGCCCCTGGACTTGTCACTTACTTGGACTGATAAGGTCCCTTTATTCCGTGTGCCTCTTTGAGTTGGGTTTTTATTAAATTGAAACTAAAGACTTGAAACCTGGAACTGATTGCAAAAGATCAGCAAAATACCCACATTTTACAAAGAAACAAGCAGGAGCTTTTAGAAGTGATTTAACCAAGGTGATGTGATTGAGATAGTAAACAAAACGCTCAGATCGACTGTATCAATCATTTATTGTTACGTAACAAATCGCTGGAAAACGTAGTAACTTGAAACAACAACCTTTTTTTTTTATATATATAATCTTGATTTTGTAGGCCAGCAATTTGTGCTGGGCTGGGCAGTAGTTCTGCTCGTCGTGTCTGAGGTAACTCAATGCAGCTTTAGCACCAGCTACCAGAGTCTCGCCTGGATCAGCCTGGTCCAAGATGGCCTCACTCACATGCCGGGCAATTAGTGCTGTTGGCTGGGGCACCTCAGTTCTCATCCATGGACAATTCCAGCCGCCAGTCTCAGACTTATTCACAAAATGGTCTCAGGCTAGTAGGAATGAGAGCGGAGGCTATAAAGTGTCTTGAAATCTAGACTCACCAGTGGCATCACATCTCTTCCATTGCATTTTATGGAAGATTTGACTTGGTCAAATCAAGTCTAAAAGCCCCAGTTCAGGGAGAGGGAGAAATAGACTCTAGTTCTTAGAGGAGAAGCAGCAAACTCTCATTGCAAATGGGGTAT